AGAATATTTTAGCAATTAGCCTGTTTTCCACTGGTGAATGTATACATCATCATAGTCATGCCATTACAGTTCAATTACTAGAATTAAACTGCCTTACCTATAGGACTTGTGTAGCATTTTGTTAAGACTGAAAGCCTTTAGAAAAACCAAGATGTGCTACAGTGCGACAGCATCAGTATTTCCCTTTAAAGCATATTTTCATAATTCAAAGATGATGAAACAGTTTTAGCAGCTACACCACCTGGCATGACTACATAAAGACTGTATACATTTGTGCATGTGCACTTTCCTCATGACTGGATTTCAGCGTTGGTGCATTGGCAGACTAGAAAAAAATGCTACTAGTGATGGCCATGCCACACAAGTGTATTACATACTTAATAGCATGCATGCGCCAGAAGACTTCACAGAAACAACTAGTAGCTAATATCTAAATAACTCCCATTAAAAGTAGCCTTAGTCTACTAAAAGATTGGAAGAAACCTATTGAGAATGTCATATAAATACTGAATAAACAGCCCAGTTTTAAAAAATTCCATAAAAAGGGTCTTTAAAATTTTCCAATTTCTCTTTAAAAAGTCATTATATTAGAGTATGATGTCAGTCATTTTTCCAGTCATTCCTAATTATATCATGAAGGCCAGGAAAACAAGTACTAGAAAGTTTTTTGCTAGATACTAATAGTTCTTTATGTAGACATGATACTAGCTTGCTTTGGGATTTATGTTAAATTAAAGAGTATGAAAGTCGTATGAGCAAGCAGCATCTTTTTTCTGGTGATTGTGTCAGCATGCAGGGCCAGATACTCAGTTAGCGTAAAGCAGCATGGCTACAATGTTTTACAGCAGCTGAGAAACTGGCCTTAGATGAATTTAAACATCTTCCTAAGGTGAGTGCTTAAGGTTGTAACCTTAACAGCAAGACAAGACACAAACACATCAGCCTCTGTTAGTGCACAAGTAAGAGCATTTTATATAAATGTATAAAATGAACTAATATGTGCAAATTACAGTAGAACCTCACTTGCTCACACTGGATGACCTATTACAAGCGACTGATGTTTGTGATGCAGCAAGTAAATAAGCAGTAACACCACCTTATTATTTGGACTTCCTTTCTTTGGCCAATGGTAGCTTTGTGTTGCTTATTTATGACAATATAATCACAAAAGTCCAGGGACCTCAGGTCCAAACCCCTGTACAAATGCAGGATGCATTAGTCCTAACCCAGCCTAGACAGATACCTATATAGCCTCTTCTTGAAAACCTGTAGGGAACAAGATTCCACAATACTTCAGGGTACCCTAGGAAACGTTGAATAACATAAATCGTTAGAGGATATTTAGCACTGGCAATTAAGACAACTGCCAAACACTGGTTTGTTGTGCACAATTTATCAAGCATGAATTTGAATGAGTTTCTACTGTATCAATCTCTGTAGTAGTTTATTTGACTGCAGTAACTGCAAAAAATGTATTCTTTTGTTATAGGTGCACAATTTAAGAAATACAAAAAAAAGTACCTCCCTATCTATATAGGGAGGGCTGATGGAAATTTTGGGGGGGGGGGGGGGGGGAAATAATTTAAAAAAAAATAAAAGTTGTAGAGACTGGCCTTACTTAACTCCCATTTCTGCCAGGCTATGTAGACCATCCATGTCACTTCTTTGGCTCCACTGCACATCTCACACTCAAGAGGTGGTTATTTTTTAAGCAAGGGGGAAAAGTCAGTTTATTACAAATACAGACCTCTTATGCTAATGAAGAACTAAAATAATCACTTTCAAGTAAAGGCAGTGGGAAGGTGGTTGCATCAACAATACTTCATCTAAACAGCAATCCCCTCATATCTGGGGAGATTCTGGGAAGAGCCCAATCATTGCTGGAATGAAACTGCTTTTTGGTCAAGAGAGGAAGACATCTGCAATCAATGGTACACGAAGTAATTCTCAGAAGTGCTCAAAATTGGCCTCACTGTGCTCTCGGGGGGGGGGGGGGGGGGGGAGACGGGGGATTATTACAC